ATACAGATAGCTGCTCTTACTACTAAACTATTCCTGTAATATACAGGAAACAGATAGCTGCTCTTACTACTAAACTATTCCTGTAATATACAGTATACAGAAAGCTGTTCTTACTACTAAACTATTCCTGTAACAAACAGTATAGATATCTGCTCTTACTACTAAACTATCCCTGTAATATACAGCATACTGATAGCTGCTCTTTCTACTAAACTATTCCTGTAATATACAGAATACAGATAGCTGCTCTTACTACTAAACTATTCCTGTAATATACAGGAAACGGAAAGCTGTTCTTACTACTAAACTATCCCTGTAATATACGGGATACAGATAGCTGCTCTTACTACTAAACTATTCCTGTAATATACAGGAAAAAATAGCTGCTCTTACTATTAAACTATCCCTCTAATATACAGGATACAGATAGCTGCTCTTACTACTAAACTATTCCTGTAATATACAGGAAACAAATAGCTGCTCTTACTACTAAACTATTCCTGTAATATACAGGAAACAAATAGCTGCTCTTACTACTAAACTATCCCTGTAATATACAATATAGATATCTGCTCTTACTACTAAACTATCCCTGTAATATGGAGTATACAGATAGCTGCTCTTACTACTAAACTATTCCTGTAATATATAGTATACAGAAAGCTGCTCTTACTACTAAACTATCCCTGTAATATACAGGATACAGATAGCTGCTCTTACTACTAAACTATCCCTGTAATATACAGGATACAGATATCTGCTCTTACTACTGAACTATTCCTGTAATATACAGGATACAGATAGCTGCTCTGCTCTTCCTTGTAAGAAACAATATACATACGTACACACTAAACTGATATTAAACTACACAATGCAATATATACTACAGGGAAAACCAGAAAACAAAAGAATAGGAAGACGACATTATAACAATACTTGATGTTGTTACAAAACAAATAGTTTTACAAAACACTAATTTTATCACTTATTTAGTGAAATAGGACTGTTTACATTCCACAATTGATGTATTTCATGTTCACTGGACTTTTAAATATAATAACTTGATTCTAAAAGTACTTTTCCTATTTCAGATATTTCTGGTTATCGCTGTACATATACTTAACTTAAAATTTATGTCTTAACCCTAAAAATCTCTCGTTTTACTGCCGAAAGCAAGTCCAAAGTAATAAAACCTCTATTAATGTATTTTTACCTTGCATATATGACAATGATGAAGCTCTGGTCCTGGTTTATGGGATTTTTTATGGCTTTTCAATTCCGTAGCTGTTGAGAATACATCACAGCATTCTTGGCACTTGTGCTGGGTCGGTCTACCAGTAAAGTTTAGATTTAAAATCATAGAGGGCGCTGAAACACTTCTTTAAATGTTTTTGCTAAATCTACCCATACTCAACCCCGCCCCCCTTTCATAGCGCGCAAAAAGTGTGAAAATTGTACATAACTATGATTCTGTAATGTTTGATATTGATTATGTTTTAGTACTGATGAGGACATCATAGAAATGTCGAAATATATTTACTATAAAAGTTGTCTCCATCGTTTATTTCTAATCTGGTTTGGCTCAACCTTGCACCAACTATAAATAGTATATAATTCTTGGGTTAGGTTAGGACACTAGGACGAGGGGAGGAAGGCCAACCACATAGAGAGAGCATGAATCAAATATAGAAAATGGTTACAAATCTGAACACTTTCCTTGTAGGAACAGTAGCTGATTTCTGGTGTTCTTCTGATAAACCAGCTCCTTCAAGCTTAAGTTCGTCCGCCTGAAAGCTACTAGCCTCATTTAATACTAAAAAGGATCATTATTTATTCAGTATACCCACTCTTTTACCACCTGAACAGTGAACCCATAATTCATATTCCAAAATGTTCTTAAATTCAATAATCTTTCAAACCCTCCTCAGTTCTCATCCTTCTTTTTAAAAATCCAATTGCAAAGATATTAGAACTAGAAATCTATAGTTTGAGGCGAGTAATCAGTTCCTTTATATTTTCAACGGTTCTATAATTTTCCCCAATTTGAATATCATTTTTTTACATTTCTTTAATTGTTGATTTTGAGGGAGAAAATTAAAATTTTGATTTGTTAATTTGTGTTTACTTAATTTTCTTATTTCTATGATTTAACGTATTGTCAAATCAAACAACGATATAAATTAATACACTGCACTGTCTAGATTTCATACAAACTTAGAACAAATTAATGACTTGTCATCAAAAACTTTAAACGTGATGTAATATTTAAATTATTGGTCCTGTAGCAAGTTTTAAAATCTCATTACTTCAATAAAGTTTTTACGTGAACGTGAACGTAAACGTAAACGTAAACGTAAACGTAAACGTAAACGTAAATGTAATTTCAAGTGATCCTCCATGCCATTCCCGATTTATAACAGTATACCCTTTAAACCTTAATTTGTTCAAAAATCTGAAATATAAAGTCGTTTTTCTGACTGGAAAAGTGTTTAATTATGATAACTTCTCCAGTCTTTCTAACAAGCAAGAAATGCGCAAGTCACTTTTTCAGAGAAACCACAAGTGATAATAAACAGTATTCCAAAACAAAAACATGGACTTTTAATTCAAACTTGATCAAACAAAGGTTTTAAGGGTAAGTTGTAAATCGGGCATTATCATCTTTGCATAGAGGAATACTTAAAAAAGGTCACTTTAAGTACTTATAAAATACTATCATCTGTCACCTGGTCTCCAAGTTTGATTATTGGTCAGGTCATTAAGATTAGTTTGACCAGGCTGCCCGGTTGACTGATGACCGGCCGACTCATGAATACTGGTTAACCCTTGCTGGGTGGTTGACTTTTGAATGCTTTGTTGATTGTTCAACCCTAGCTGTCTCTGCTGGTCTGAAAGACTCTGAAGACCTAGCTGGCTGGTGGCATTATTCACGTTGGTAGACAAGCCGACCAAGCATTCATCCACCATACCCTCTCTACAACAAATAATGCTTCATTAATTGTAATCCCTGTTTTCTAAGTTTATTTAATTTAGGCGATTCTCCCTTTATATAATGTCCAATTAATGATTTTAAACGGTGGCCATTAAAACTACGTTTTTCTTAAACAATTTGTTGACAATTTTTAGAAGAAGCCATAAGCTGTCAAAATAGAAGTAGAAACTAACCTTTGTTGAGAAAGATTGATGTTAGTTTTATGAATTCTAACTTCTCCGTCATGGGGAAACAAGTCTTCCTCTTCTTTCTCCTCTACTCTGACCGCATGCTCGAGAATATTGGAGTTTAAAGGAATGGTCATGGTTTCCACCGAGGATTCATATTCAACCATCTCAATGGAACCCTGTTCAGTCCCAGGTACGGGAAACAGACAATCTGAAGTATCCATCCGACCAACTCCAAGCTCATCAGATCCAGCAGCATCGTTGATTGATCGAACCTTCTCCGCGTCCCGGTTGGGTAGAGAGATCTTGGAGAACTCAATTTCGTATCCAGGATGTAGGGTGGTGACAGTACTGTCATCAATAATGACCGTGGTTTCAATTTTATCGTAAGGTTCCGTATCTTGATATTTAGCTCGAGCCCGCTCCTCTGCCTCATCTCTTCCATGTAATTTTATATGCTTCTTACAGTTAACCTACATATATTATTTTAGGGAGTGTTCGCGAAAATCTAAAGCTAAACCAAAAATGAAAATTTAAATATAAAGGTTTCTTTTGTTATATCCATTTAAAAATTAAACAACTATGATTTATTTGACATGTACTCTCCTGAAATAAATAAGCTTTTTAAAGAAATGATTTTGCAAAAGCACTTTTGATAGAAAATACCAAAGCATCTTGATCCCCTTTAATTGCATACGATATAAACAGCAGTAAAGGACAAAGATCACTTTCCTATTCATCAATTTTTGAATTATGATTTTTCCATGTTAGATGTTAATATTGTTTAACCCCACAATGTATTGCTTACAGGAGTGCAGAAACAGAAATTTCTAAATTTAAAAAATCTATTCTTTGGAAACTAAATAATAGTTGTAAAAGTAATAAGTAGATTCTAGAAATTATGTTAGTTAAGATTAACCTTTGTGAGAAAGAGAAATGGAAAGATTATTAGGTTTTTTATTTCGTAGATATGAATAAAAGATTAGTCTTCATCCTTTGTTCAACTTATGTAGACTATATTAAAAAATATGAGGATGGGGATGAAAAATGATTTCCAAAACTTGACAAGTTAAGAAGAGGAGGGGAGGGGGGGAGGAGTCAGGAAAGGCAACGAACAAGACTGGAAAACAAGATGTTATAACAAACCGCACCAAAAAAATGTAAGATAACAAAAAACGAAACTATTATAAGATATATAATTATGTCATGGTCATAAGATAAACATGAGTGTAACATATCTTACAATTACAAAATGTGTATTGTAACTTATAGTTAGAAAATGTAAAAAAGAAATTGAAAGTAATCTACGAATTGAAAACCTCAAAATTACAACATTAAATTAGAAGACTTTGATGGAATATAAAAATAAGTAATTTCTATACTTTATCTTTATCAAACAAAAAGGAGGGGCAAAAGAGTTCTTTACCCTGAGTACGCATCTGCAATCATCCATTAAATTATATTAGTTCAGTTAAATCTAGCCAACAATCGTCAACTAAGTTCTGTATTTGGGTAAATGCAAATTATTGTTAAGAATTATAATTTGATCATGAATCATTTCAAAATTAAAATATTTGGGGCAGAAATCAGGAAATCAGGATTAACAATTCGTCCCGTCTTTTCAGTATTTAATTTCTACAATGTTCACACCTTTTGGGCTGAATAGAAACTCACTAGTTCACTAACTTACTAGCATAACCTAAGATCACTAGCTTGTAAGCTAACTTACAAAATGAATAGCTCACTTAGAATTTAATAATAATTAGTATTTGTAATTATATTTATTTACTAGCTTGGTAACCCAGCTTATTATGCAGTTTTTCCGATAAACCTACTCAACTTAGAATTTACTTAGAACATTTTCGTGGTTCTACCAAGTTCACCAATCAAAATTTGAGGCAAATCGGTCCATGGGTTTCTTAGTTATGATCGGGCATCCAAACAAAATAACAAACAAACAGACACCCAGACATATATATAAATATATTTAGTAATACTATAATGGTTATAAAACATTATATGGAATCTCTCCAGCTGATATATTGATAATGATTTTATAAACGACATTGTGTCTTGAAATATTAATAATAATAATTAAAAACAAAGTCTTCGAGTAAATAAGGGCTAATTAATTGATGTTATTTGTATGTGTATAATATCCGAACTGTGTATAGTAAACTTCTTATCAAATATATGAAATAGTATACAATACATATTAAAGGTATAAACTGTGGTTTTCTCATTTCTATATAAATAAATACGAAAACTTTGACTCAAATATTTCAAATATTTCAAATATTTAAAAAGCATCGTCGTAGGTAATATTTTTAGTGCTAAAGGATCATAACAGTGTGTTGTCTTTTGAACTTGAAAAAATCGATATGATATTTGTCTCTATTTTCCTCACTATTCTTTAATACCTTTTCCTCTATTTTCTCCTTTATAACCTTTTGTTTCTCCTTCCCCTCTCTTTGTTTTCCTTTAGTTATAAATTATTTTATTTCTTTGGGCTTCTTTGAAATTTAACATGCATGTATCGATGAAAAAGAGCCTCTCATTCAAAACAACCAGCAATGGTTAGAGAGGTCCTGGCTAGATTTAACTTTAAAAATTGTGCCTACCAATAATTCATATTATTAAAATATTTAGTCAAATATATGTATATATATATATATATCTGATAAGAATTTAGTAAATTAGGCTATGTTCTTTCTGAACGTCATACCTTTCAGCTTCTATTTTTACGGTTTAAACTATTTATTTTGCATTCTTAATTTACCACTTCTTTTCATTTTTTAAATCAAGATAAAGGAATTGAGTCTTGATACAGACTCTGATTTTCTAATCTTTGGAACCCAATGTCTTAGGCCTCAGCTATTTCAAAATATGTATTCAGAAAGTTTAAATAATGTAAAATTGACCCGGCTCGATTGATTTTCATGAACGCGTACAGCACTAGAGAATTTAAAGATAAGTACAGTAAAGTAATATACAGAGTTATCCAAAAAGAATGAGACAAAAAAGACGACCCCAAAAATTTTTCAATATGAAGATCTGAATGTTAAATTTATTCTCCCGCGTTTATTACAGTCTTTACTGGTTTGGTAAAGAAAAAGCTTATCTTAAAATGTAAGTAAGCGAAGATTTAAGGAAAAGAACTCAATAAATTCTTTACAGTCGTCTCTGAAGTCTCATCCTATAACCCTGTAGCTTGGTTTAGGGTACTGAGTAGACTGTAAATGTTTAACAGGTGTAAGATATAATGGTGTATAAGTCCACTCTAGAGAATCCAACCAGTAACTACCCAACACCATTTATAATCCATCCAATACCAGACCAGGAATATTAAATAAGAGTGGGAGTAAACCATACATTAATACAAACCATACATATATACATACCATACATACATACATACATACATACATACATACATACATACATACATACATACATACATACATACATACATACATACATACCATACATATATACATACATACATACATACAAACATACATACATACACCCATACATGCCATACATACATACATATACACATTCAATGTTTAGAATATTTATGTAAGGCATTGAGTCTTAGCTACACACTCAAATTTGCTAATTCCTTTTTCTTGCAACCTGATAGTATAAACCTCTAATATTTTAAATAATAATATTTTATTTAAATGAAATATTTGAAATATTTGAAGGAATAACCACCCTGTACAGAGATGCTCGTTTAATGTTGAGCTGGGCTATAGAGTGTGTCAGGAGGTGGGCCATGCGGCATTGCTACATGAGGACGAGGACCAGGAGATTTTGACAACCTATGGCCCGCGGAATTTCGATCATTTCTTAGCCTCTTGGTGGAATAGAGATAGAGCTAGCTCAGCTGGTCGGAATGAGTACTCTTGGGAGGAGCAGGGGGACAACTCTGGAGCAACGAGGCAGTCCTGGAGAGATTCAAGATGGTCGTCTGGGCCATACAGCAAGTACAGCCGAAGATCTAACTAGATGGAAGAGGATGCAGGATTCAGAATGATTTGATCAAGATTTATAATCAATTTTAGAGCTATGTATGAGATTATTTATTTCGCGGCCAAGTTAAGGGCTATGATTTTATATAAAGTGTGTATGTTTAATTAATAAAACAATTATTTTCTCCGGATGTTACAGAGTTACTTACAAACAGAGTATTGATATCTTAATGGAAAGGTCATCCCATGTTTAAAATGTACTGCACAGAATGTTAACATCAGGAATATACATTATTCTTGGAATAGTTTATGGCTACTAAAACTATATAACTGTAAATTTGTGTTTTTTGTTCTGCAGGATTCTTTGGGTTTTGGTCCTTTCAGTGTTTAGCCCAAGATAGGCATGGGGAAAACAATAGGGGCAAGGGCTAAGGTCATCGTCTAAGGTAAGCTGCAGCTAAGGCAGCAGTCACGTCAACACCTTTGAAAATATGCTTTTGGAACTGCAATGGTATTGCTAACTTGTGAAAGCAGCAAGAAATAGCAGACGCTTGACATCTTATTTGTGGATGAGACTCACTTGAAACAGGGCAGTAATTAAAATATGTCCCTGATAGATCCATGGAACCCATTTTACTTAAAGAGGTATGGGTTTAAAAAAGGTAGGCGGCTGATTGGTCCTAAGATCAGAACAGCTGAACTGTCTGGTATAAAATCCAGAAGTGGAGGGGTCAAATTGGATCAACAGCGAAAGAATTTTGATCTTGGTTCACAACAATTACTGTTAACTGGCAATTTGTTTTGAGGTTACCGCAAAAAGTGAGTTCATGACCTGGAACGATAGCATGTAAAAAGCTTTGCAAGGAGAGATCAGGTCCCAAACAGAGGATGGGTACCAATGCATGATCATAGGGGGATATGAACGTGGGCACTCTTCCCGATGGTATTGAGGGGAATAGACCTGGTTAAAATACCAATGGAGTTAAGCTTTTGAACTTTGTGAAGTATAAAAATTTGCTAATGCTGAATCAAGACAATAAGATCTGTTTAGGCCTGTTCACGCAAATAAAGCTGAGTTACTGGATAGGGGACAAACAAATGGCAGTTATTCTGGAGGCGTGGCTGTCAGCTTCAGAGGCTTACAAACAATAGGGTACCTTTTGAGGTAAATCATATTGTTGGATATAAAATATTATTATTATTTTCATGAAGGTATCTACAGGACCTTCATGCAGAGGGTTTGCGGCAGTACGCCATAGAACTCGACCCATGCTTGGTGGTCCACACTTTGGTCCAGTGGGACCAACCACCAATGACAACCGCCTACTTACTTTGGAGATAGTGTGGTGACGCGGGCTCTTCCCTAACCTCTCTTCAGATTTAGAATACAACATTTGTGAATCGATAAATCACAAAGTAGTAATATTAAGTACATTGACAAAAATAATTCAATTCGATGTTATGAATGTGTAAGTAAAGAATCCAAAAAATCTATAATTAGCAGAGTTTAAAGCATTCATATAAAGAATCCAAGAAATCTGTAAAAAAATTAGAGTTTAGATGTTTATGTAAAGAATCCAAAAAATCTATAAAAAAAAACAGAGTATAGAATGTTTCTGTAAAGAATCCAAGAAATTTGTATAAAAAACAGATTTACAATGTTTATGTAAAGAATCCAAGAAATCTAAAAAAAAACCAGAGTTTAGAATGTTTATGTAAAGAATCCAAAAAATCTATAAAAAACAGAGTTTAGAATGTTTATGTAAAGAATCCAAAAAATCTATAAAAAAAAACTGAGTTAAGAATGTTTATGTAAAGAATCCAAAAAATCTATAAAAAAAATCAGAGTTTAGAATGTTTATGTAAAGAATCCGAGAAATCTATAAAAAGCAGAGATTAGAATGTTAATGTAAGGAATCCAAGAAATCTATTTTTAAAAAAACAGAGTTTAGAATGTTTATTTAAAGAATCCGAGAAATATTTCTAAAAAACAGAGTTTAAAATGTTTAAGTAAAGAATCCGAGAAATATTTTTTTTTAAACAGAGTTTAGAATGTGTAATGTCAATAAGAATAGTTTAAAACGTTTTACTATATTTGAACTAATCACAATTTACACAATTGACGTCAAGTAGTAATTGCTAGTAAGATTTAAAAGATTTGTTAAAAGAGGTATTGAGAAGAACAAAAATGTTTTGAATTTCCAATAAGTGCCCAAACAAATTTTCTTTTTTCATACTTATACATAAAATCAGAAGAGGAGCCACGAGGTCATGTCTCATTCATTTTACCTTCTCTATCTGTCTAGTTTGCAGTGAATAAAGAAAGAAATGTTGAGAGTTCACTATGAACCTTGCAATACTACTACTAACTAATATCCGTGTAGTGGGTAGAGAGCCGGTATTACGCAAGCGTCGGATTTCAAGTTTTCAATTGGAGATTTTAACGAAATTCAGGACAATGAGTCATCCCTTACTACTGCTCACTGCTCAGTCAGCCGGAAAGCCTGCTGCCGTATATCATCTATCCATAAATAATATCCTGTAAAGCTGGAGTTTAATTTAGCTGCGCAATGTATTTTCTACATACACATTTGTTTGTATTTTCTGGCACTCCTACTTTTGTTATGACATCTAGACAACTGTGAAAGTTAGTCATCAAATTTTAAGAAAGCCTCAACTTAACAGCGTTGCAACGGCTTAGCATTTGGTTTTACCTCACTAAGTCATTTATACTATTTTCTACCCCTAGACATATACATTCTGAACCTGCAACGCGCTTGTTTCTAGCTTAAGCCTATCAGGAGTAATTGGCAAAATACTGCTCAATTTTTGCGTGAAAGTTTGCACAGATCGTAAGTCTTAGACAAATTATATCCACGCTTTCAAAACCTCCCATTTTCCGATAAATATTTTATAAACTAATCTGAGACATTTTCAATGTCCCTTTTCCGATAGTTTTGTACAAATGTCTAAAATATTTTACTATTATCCTTTTAACTGTGTAGAAAATTTGTATTCAGTTTATTCAATCCTTTATGACCATCTGTAAATTCATAAAACAAACGCCCTCAACAGTAACACCCTATATCTTTGCAACCCAATGTTGTAGACCTTGAAGATATTGTTAGGATCATCAGGTTGTAAAGAGGGGATGACAAATTCCTTTTTATCTCCAAAATATATGTATATATATATATATATATTCTGGGAATTCTATTGTAAAGACAGCAAGGAAATGACTAAAATTTAAATCATTCTATAACTCTTGGAGACTCAAAAAAAATATCTCTATTATCTATATATATATATATATATATAAAGAGATAATCTCTGTTTGTTTGTTTGTATGTCCGATCATAACTCTTGAAGCCCTTGACGGATTTGCCTCAAATTTTGATTGGTGAAATCGATAGAACCACGGAAATATGCTTATCTTGGATTAAAATTTCTTATTTGAATAGATTGACTCTTGTCAAGAAAAACTTTTATTCCAGGTAAAGCTGGTTTCCCAAGCTAGTATTCCCATTAAGTGCAACCCATAAAATTGTGAAAAATGAAAAATTGTCTTTAGTAACCTGATGTGACGACATGTGTCTCCTGACACTGCCTGGTGTGGTAAAACTGCTGCCACAAACTCCACACTCATACAGTCTAAACCACAAGGAATATAGTTTTTTAAATTATTGATTGAACAAAAGAATTACGCATATTTAGTAAGAATTTGGAGAAAACTTTTTATGTTTTTAGCAGTGATTATGATCCATTTACTTTTGATATAGATTCGGATCCGCCCTGGAAAAAAATGAATCCAGGTCTTTAAAATTTACAGCTTTTTTTAACAAAAGAAGAATGTTCAAGTGATTTTTATATTACATTTTTCTTTTGTTGCTGATTTTGATGATAAAACTTGATAAAACGTACAGGATCCTAAGCACTGGTTTTGTTAAAAATTGAGTTATTCTGACGACTTTCTAAACACTTAGTTATTAAAGTCTAACAAAACTCAATAATAGGTTTGGATATATCAAACAAAATTTTTTCTAAAATTGCGTTTTGCACATTCTGGATTCAGAAAACAGAAGAAGAAACAACATGCACAGGAAGAGAAAAGAAGGAAGTCGGGAACAAAATTGCAAAAAATAAGCTAAATAACTAAAACAGGGAAACAAGTAAAAACTAAAGTGAAAGGGCATAAATTAAAAGTATTTAATCAAGGGTAACTTTAATTTACGTTTACTGTCACTTTCAGGATATCAGAATAAAATTTTCTAATTGTAGTGGTTACAATATGTACTTACTTAACCCTTCCATGTGTCTTGATATGAAGATTAAGAGTCCCTCTGGTAGTAAAGTTTTTCTTACATTTATGGCATTGGAACGGTTTCTCTCCAGTGTGTGACCTGAAATTGTTAAAAAATAAATAAAAAATACACAAATTTGATAATTTATCATGGGAAAGATTCGAGTAAGGAAACTCTTTCAGATTTTCTTTTTCTTACACAATTTTATACAAATGCGTTTCTTTATTCTAAATTTATTAATTTGCTTAAAAAAACACCTTAGATTACATCTTTAAAAACATCTTCTCAAATAAACCCCTTTCTTTGTGCAATAAGAAGTATTACGGAACTTACTACACAAATTTAATTTTCTAATTTCTTTATCTTTGCAACCTGATGTTGTACACTTTTGATAGTTCTGCTATATAAAATAATCAAAGTTAAAAACATCAAAGGTTTACACCATAAGAAACAGAAATTCGAAGATATTATTTAAAGGTGAGTAATCAATTCCTTTGTCTAAGTTTGTACAAAAGGGACTGTTCAGTACTTACATAGTGTGTTGCTTTAAGTGTGAGGATCTTTTAAATGCCGCGGTACAGTATGAACACTTGTATTGCCGCAAATCTACCTCCAGTGCGGAAGGGTTGTACACATTTTCAAACCTGTTAAATACAAATAAAATGAAAACGTCATCACTGTTTTTTTTTCAAAATTGATAAGGAGAAGCCTAGTAAATTAAACTACAATTTCAAAATCGTCTTTGATTTTTATTTAATTCCCAACCAACAAAAGTCTACTTAAAGTCAACTTAAACTCGACTTTATACTCCAAGAAGTTGACTTTTACACAACTTTTTAAAAAGTCGATCCAAAACTGGACTTTAAAATAAAGCTTGCTATACGACTGGACCAAAATGGCTGATTTTTCAGGCAACCCCTGGGTAGTTAGTACCCTGTGGGTTACAGGCTATTTTTCTTTAAATTTCATGAGCAACGCATGTAAAATCAGGTAAATTCATAGTTTTATAGTAAGAATGTGGGTAAACAGCAGGGGTAACAATGACTATAGTTAAGACATTTATTCAGAAATATGAGCCTTTTTATCTTTTTGTTTACCTGGCTTGATCCTGTACTATCCCATTCCTGGTGACTAGCAAGGGTTCTAATGTCCTCACGTCCTCTACCACAACCTCCCCAGCATTGAAGTCCCTGTCATCCTCCTCCACCTCCTCCTCCTCCTCCAAGAAGTGCTCCTTCTGCCTATGCTGCTTCAAGGCAGTGATTGTAAAAAATACTTTGCTACAGGTATCACAGTTTAGCTTTTGATTTTGATGAATCCTTAGAACAAAGACATTAAACTCAACATAATAGCCAAAAAAGGAACAGCTTTTGTTATTTCCATATACCACAAATTCAAAGATTAATACATTTATGTTTCAAAGATATAGAGATTGGAAAAAAAGAATTTGATGCCAGTAGTCCAAGTAAAATACTAAGAAAGATGATTAAAGAGGGTTGAGGGGGGATTTGTTAAAAATTCACTTTTAAGTAATCCTTTGTCTACAAATTACTTACTTACTTACTTCTGTGGTGATTCTCAGCAGTCCCAGTGGGACCATTATGAGAATTTCTGCCAGGCAATGAACGGTTGATCAGGACTTATGCAAGGCTGGATTTAGATAGCATCAACAGTTCTTGTGCATAGATAATCATCATATCGGAATTTGAACATATTTATATAGGGGTTGAACTTTTGACAAGGGCTGTTAGTTTGTTCCATATATCTGGTACTCTGATGCTAAAGAAATTCCTTCTGATTTCAGTCCTTGAAAAAAAGGATTCAAGGTTTGCTGGTTTAGGATTTTTTAAGTTGTGATCATGTCCGTTTTTATTCTGCGATCCTTTAAAGAGAGTAGCTTGAGCTCTTGAAGTCGATTCTTGTAATTTTGGCTTCTCAGCCCAGAAACCAAGCGTACAGCTCTATGTTGAATATGTACAATTAATTTTGATTTTATAATATGATTTAAAATAAATAATAAATACCATTGTCAATTTTCCACCTTAAAAGTTGTTACATGCAAGTTAATAGTGCACTCCATGGAAGAAATTATTTCTCTAAATCAGACATGTAGGTGCACAGGGAATCCTAGAGACCTGGCGCACTCTCAAACTAAAACCAGTCTTTTCTAATAAGGATGAAGAACCCATTCATATTACCCCACAGGCTCTGGGTTAGTGATGGTTGTGGAGAAAAAAACCCATCCCACTCTGCCTTAGAGGATCAGTAACGTTTCATATAGTATATTTTCGTATAGTAACATTTTGTCTAGTACACCTTTTCTAGGTAACATTTGGTAAAGGTAACATTTGGTATAGGTAACATTTTGTATAGGTAACATTTCGTATAGGTAACATTTTGTATAGATAACATTTCGTATAGGTAACATTTTGCATAGGTAACATCCAAAGTAATTTTTCGTATAAATGTAAAAATTAAAGAACGTCGAGATATTTTTGTAAGAAAACCATGAATATTTCACTAAGAAAACTGCGAACCATTTAAAGAAAATCCGCAAAATTACAAAAACCTCAAGCATGTCTCTGATAAGACTTACTAAGTCTACTCGTGGAAAGGATGCAATAATCGATAACAACTATCATAAATATACCTTTAATAGTACTGGAAAAAATGTTAACTATTGGACCTGAGCAAACAGAAGTTGTAAGGCAAGGATTTCCACCCGGAAATCAACAGGGAACCTTGTAGGACAATCAATTCCTCTGCATGATCATGGTAATCAGCTCCTGATCAAGAAGGCTAAAGAACATGAGGTCGCTGTCCTTGACAACCTGGACAATGTTCCAGCAGCTACCACAAAGGCAGTGTTGCAGCAAATTAGTACCAACATCCTTGCCTCCTCAAGTCCAGGGCTGCTAAGCAGTACATCTTCTGCTGGTGCTGTAAAAATAGCCCATTGGAGGAAGAAACAGAAAAATAACCCCAGGCCAAAGATTCCAGAATCTCATCTTGATATCATGGAAGAACAGATACCAGATAAGTTGACAATGGCCAATCATCAACGTCTTAAGTTACTTGATGAACAGTTTGGCATTCTGCCTGACAAAGAATATCTGCAGCAGGTGGCTCATGAACTTCAAAAATCGGATAATTAATTAAACTGTAAAAAAATGAACGTATACATTAAATATAAATACAAAAATAGCTGATATTTGGTGTCTCATTTTTCATCTTTATTTTTACATTATACGAAAAATTACCCAAAGTGTTACCTATACAAAATGTTACCTATACCAAATGTTATTTATACAAAATGTTATCTTTACGAAATGTTACCTATACAAAATGTTACCTATACAAAGTGTACTAATATATGAAATGTTACCTAGACCAAATGTTACTATACGAAAATGTACTATACAAAATGTTACTGATCCGCAATAGAGTTTGATCCAGTTGTTGTGCTAGTTAGCAGTGTGGGGCAGACACCAGGCAATCATCGTGTTCTGCTAGTTATCCTTAGTATCGCATTTTTTTCCCGCCTGCAAGGGCACACTCATTGGAGACTTCCAGTCGAGCTCCTTCCATTTTTTTATCTTCATAAAAGTAATGGAGTTTCTTGCTCATCTTCCCCTCACTCAAATTCAAAACCTTGTTTGGAAGATCACTCCAGTCACTGCCTGGAGTAGTGGAAATATATTTTAAGATATTGTATCCTACACAGTGACGGTTCTTCTGGGATCTCTCTTTACCCATTAAATATCCTTTTATTGAATGGAAATTTTTTTCAGGAAAAATGGAAACCCTAATCATACCATATTGAACAGAAGAAACAAGAATCAGATTCTCTCTCCTGAGTTGTAGGAGTAGCCCCCCCCCACCCCCACCCCCAAGCAGTTTACTCCACTATACAGGATCTGGAATTCTTAGCATGTTAACACTGTATTTACCAACATAGCATAGGAGGGAACAGTAATATCTCCATCCTTCTCAAATCCATTATAAATGTATTATTCTTCTCCTTGGACTTGACGATTTCTTCATTTCTTTCGCAGTTTTAACTTCAACCTTCACTACATCACTACACTAAAAAAAAACTCTCAAATACAAGGCAAACTAGTGAAGTAACCAAGGCAGATTTGAACTTAGGTTTCTGGAAGGGAGCTAACAAATTCTTTAAATGAGAGGAGAATCCATGTACTTCCACAACACCTGGCTGCGTGAAGCTCAGGTTCTGGCTTACAAGTAATTCCATGTGCTTAGTAACAGACTCAGATGTGAACTCTGATATCTTGGGTTGGGGCAGGGACATACTAGACAGGTAGCTCAGAAATCATACCATAATAACAGGAAGTCAAAAAATCCTACCATAATGAACAGAAGAAACTAGACTCAGATTCTCTATCCCAATTTGGTGGAGTTGAATCCCCCAGTTCACTTCACTCTGCAGGATCTGGCATTCCTAGCATCTTGACACTAGCTTTACCAACGTGGCTTAGAAGAGACTCATCATCATATGTTTCAAGACGGAATAGTTCTGCTGGATCTCCAGTTTCTCCTAGTACAGTATAACAGTGTCAACTCCACAAGAAAACTAATGGACAATGGACATGGGCCAAAGGTGCTTCCTTATAGTTATACATTTATTTATTTAAAGTTCTCCTTCTTTCCCTTGGACTTGACCTGAGCCTTAGTTGAAGATTTATTTGTTTCTTCAGCAGCTTTAACTTCAACCTTCACTACCTTCCCCAGGTTCTCTTCCTCAGCCATCTGTTCTTTAAATAAACTCTCACCTACAAGCCAAACTAGTGAAGAAACCATGGCTTAGGTTTCTGGGACTTTTTTCCTCTCTTCTAAAAGCTTTGAGGACTTCCTTAAACTGGCTTTCTGAACCCCAGCCAGAAATTCTCTTAATGAGAGAAAATTCCATGCACTTCTGCATCATCGGCCTGCTGGTAACTCAGGAACTGGTTGAATAACAGACTTGAATGTGAACTCTGATATCTGGGGTCTGGGACAGACCAGACAGGTAGTCCAGAAATCTCTTATTAATTCCATCTTCTTCATTGTTCTCATCCTCTCCTTCATAATCCTCTAGTAACTTAATTATACATTTTACTATGAACGATTGTTTCCACATTTCCAACATAAACGGTTTGTAGTTCGGAGGAGGTTCCTTCAAGTAAAAGTTTGCATCCTGAGTTCTGAATCCTATTAACACATTTTCTCCTCAGTCAAACCCAGAGTTCCACCAGGAGGTCACCACACAGGATCTCATATGGTTACCTTTCCACATATTTATCAATCCAGTATTCCCGAGTTTATTCGAACTTTGTGTTTATCCACAAAATTAGATAACTGGATTATCAGTTCTGGATCTGAGAACAACACAGTTAGTTCATCAATGGCCAGGGAATGCGAGCCTTTGTATCTTGTAATAAAGTCATGATGAATAATTTGGCTCCAGATCTCACATCTTTTGTTTTCCATCTTTTGTCTTCTTAGTATCCCCAAAGGGGGCCCTAAACAGATGGCCCATGAGCCTCCTGATATTACTAAACCTAATAATATCATTGATCTTGAGGCTAGTAATTTAATAGTCCTTCTCTTACCTCTCAGGAGAAACTGGGGAACTGAAAGGTTGTATTAATCTCAGTTCTCAAGCAGTACTAGGTGGTTGGAAACTTCAAGCTTGGAGATGACTGCAATGGGAATGCTGGTTCTGGGAGTGTATTACAATAAGTGCTGCAGCCCTGCAGATGATCAGTGGTGGAAGAAATGGAATATTAGCCCTAGTGCTTTTAAAGTTTAGGCATTATCCGATCTGAAGCTTGTTTATCGAGCTGCTTTGTAGTTATGGCTGGAGTTTTAAAGAGATTTGTTTCCAGATCCAGATTTTGTATGTCAGTTCACTGCATCAGATCAGATATTTTTCCTTGACCTCAGTTACAAAATTATCTAAATATTTTGTTGAGAAATAATCCTATATTTGAATTTGAGTTTAATATTTTCCTAAGATGAGAGGAGAGTGTTGATTTAACGGAAAAGGAACGAGAGCAGTGGGAACAGTTGAACGGCTTTTCCTAAAAATAAAGTATATTGAGTGCTTCTTTATCTTAAAAAATAAAGTTCATCAAGTTCTAAATCTACTTAATCCTCTGTGCACCTTTATAAAATTATTAGGTAATTGTAGTGACAACAAAAGTCTGAGCTTTTATATTGTAAATCAAATATGTATCTTTAGTAATCTGGTGAATTAAATTGACTCTTTAAAGTATAAAAAAATGCAACAAATCAGAAACTGCAACAAGTCTGCTCTTGGCACTCCACAATCAGCTGCTAACTAACTAAGCACTTTATCATTTAGAATAAAGAGTTAATATGTGGATATTGAGTTCAGGCAATTAAGATTAGCACTTTTTCAAAATTTTGTACTGTTTTATTTAAGATCTTTAACTTTTAGATAAAAATGAAGAACAAACAAAGATAGCAATACCTTAGTATGAGTCCTAATATGCCGAAGCAAATCACTTGGTTTCTGGAAGCCTCTAACACACCAGCTACATAAATACAGCTGGACACCCCTCTCATCCATCCTAGTTCGAACCATGTGCTTTCTAACCTTTCCATCCTGCCACCTACATTTTTATTATCATTATTATCATAATTTTCATTATCATTATCTATACAAAATGTT